TTAGATCAGGTGAAGAGAACATGGCCTTCGTGGTATAGTCAAGTCTCTCGTGGTGATCATCCCAAGCCTACTATCATGCTCGAAGTTGTTACTTCTAATGACTTGTGGTTTTCACATGTTTTTTTTGGTGTTGCGGGCTCGAACAACGATATCAATGTTCTTGATCAATCACCCATTCTTGATTATTGGATTAATGAGACTACACCCGACTCATCTTTTGAGCTTAGATGGATGCTTTACAAGCGTTGATATTATCTTAACGTGCGAATATACCTAGATTATTCCACGATTATCCATTCCCTCCTTGAACCAATCAGTCTTAAACGCCATAAATACAAAAAAGCTCATGAGGCGGCGTGAAAAGATATTAAATGAGCCTTCGGGGTGTTGAAGGGTAAGTGACACATTTTATATTGTCCATCCAAGTGTTATTCTCAAACGAAAATGAGGAATATCATGTACGCATGTATCATTCTTCATAATATGATCATAGAGGACAACGAGTTTGGAATTTGTCATTACAACTCAAACAAGGAGGTGCCTACACACGAAGAAATCGATGAAGAAAAGAAACAAAGATACCTCAAAGAAAATCGAAGCCGAAAGATTCACAATGCACTAATGCAGATTTGATTGAAGATATTTTTAGTCGCTCTAATAATCACTAATTTCTTCGTAATGTAATGTAATTTTTAATTTTTATATTAATGTAATATTTTTATTGAATGTAATTTATTTATTTAATGAATTATTGTCATTTAAATTCAATTAAATAATGAAATATTATTAATTCAATTATACAAGATGTGTATTTAAAATGTAAAAAATAGATGTTTGAAGCCTCGGGGTCTCAAACCTAATTCTAGCGAAATTGTGATGTAAGTTAAATCTGACGTAGCAGAGAGAAAGTTTTGAAGCCCCAGTGCATCAGTAGTATTTCTAGTGGTCTAAGAACTTGTCATATTGTAATACTTAAGGCATAATTTTTTGACATGTAAGTGCCACGTGTCACTCTCCAAGTTTAAGCTAACACCGAAGGAAACCAAAAGAAGGAAACAACATAAGGAAACGCAGAAGGAAACAAAAAACTCTGGAATTACATCTTCTCTTCTTCGCCAAAGGAAACTTGATTTACGCTTTCAATCTCCTCTTTTAATTGACATCCAAAAAATCAAAATTGATATTGAAGATTGAAAATCAAGATTCAACATGGAAATTTTCGAGATTCGTTGTTAATTGGTGTATTTCCTAAATTCATATTTAATTGTTATTCATCCCTCATTTCTCAATTCATTCTTAATTTGAAATTCTTCAAATTTTTTTACTTATTTTTTATGGGTATGGGTGACCAAGCAAGTACTCTTTGATTAACTTTTTTAGGGAATCTACTTTTGTTTTTATTTTTTTGGCTCATTTAACAGCATAGATAGATATGCTATTTCATGAAGTGTATTGATGGTTTACAGAAAATATGAGTTTGAAAAAGAGAAATGGGAAATCGAGAGTTGGTTTTTTCTAATATGGATCAAAGTTGAGATCTCTCTGAATACTTGTGATTACTTTTCATCCCTTTTTTCCTTATCTCTTTTAAAGAAATTTTACATATTTTTGTGTAAGTGTTGGAGGGGAGTGAGACTTTATGAATTCCATCAATAGTATTATATTCATTGGAGCTCTTTTACAAATTTTAGAATCATTATTATTGGTTAACAATATTCGTTTCAAAAGACCAGCTGTTTGTACTAATGCTGATCTTCGGATTAGCATTTCCTTATTTTAAGATGGCTTCATGTCCATACGTGCATTAGGAATTTGACAAAGGGAACCTAAAGTTCCAATTGAAATAGCGGATGCCAATTTCGACGAACCATTGCTGAGTTGTAGTTGCATCTGTGTCTCAGAGGCCATTATGATGGATAGCGGTGTCGCGGAGCCTCCTAAGACGAACTTGTATCGGATATGGAAGAACTTCGGGCTTTCTTCAAGATCCATGGACTGTTGAAGCTGAGTTTGGAATCAGAAGCTCTTTCCCACTGGATGCTACTGTAGTGCTACTGTTTTTGGGCTGATGGAGTGGATTAAACTGTGGTTTTGGGCTATGCATTGTTGCTGGAACTGCTGCCTGGGTATACCGGCTTGGTAAACGTTCCACTCCTCCGTGAACCTCCTGGACACTCACTTTTGTCATAATTTACTTCATTTGCATGAGGTAGGGGCTAAATTGAACTCTTGGCATGTGTGGTCTGTTTGGATATTGACGGCTGGATGGGAACTAGTAACCATGTGCCTTATGTGCCTTGGACAGGGAGTATATGTACTTGGCTTGAGACACCACCAACATATGCTCCCTCCATGCTCTTGTTTTGGCCTACCATACTGCTGCCTGGTGATGCGGGGTACTGGAAGCGTCGGAAGCTGACACTGGAGCCAGGACGTGGATTACCACTTTGTTATGTTTGACCATTTTGATACTTGTCTTGTACTTGTTTTGATTGTTTATTTGTACGGGGGTTGCTTGGACCACTTATTGGCACTTCTTGTTGAGTACATTTTAGGGAGAGGAAATGGAGTGTGGTTTGGGCAGTGTTTGGGCTATTCCTTTAGCTTTTGGTCAGGGGTGCCACTAGTTTTTGGAGGCTATTTGGCCACTGCCGGGACTACTCTGGACAGATTGCTGGATCCTGTGTGGCTCTTTGGCATTGATTGGCTGGTACTTGAAGGTGGTCTACTGGATGGTACTTTGAGGTGCACTTGGGAGTCAAATACCTTAGATGAGAGGTCATGGACTGTGTTTTGGGGAAATGATTGGACTGGAAGCTGAAACTAAACTATGGGGCACTGGTTTGCTGCTGGTTTGCACCAATTTGCTGCTGGCATTGCTGCTGTACTTGGCCGAAAGCACTGCTAGGAACACTTCCATGAAGATGCTGGTTTTGGGCTTCCTACCTATCCACTTGCTGTGTCTGAACTAACAGAGGGAGCAATGAATGAAGGCTTTCAGGACAATGTGACAACTTCTAGCACTCGAGCCTTGGCCCTTTGGCATGCCAGCGGATAACCTTAACATCTACATATAGTGCTTCTTGTTTTGTCCCTCTTTCTTTAGCCATGCACCGAACAGATTCAGAAAGCATCTTTAGAAAAGATGTCTAAGATGTTAACTCGAAGAACAAGACCCCCTCTAGTGCAAGGCCTTGTTTCAGACAACAATGGATTTCGCCATCTTCTTTTTGTTTTTTTTTTTTTTGCTTTTATGAGTGAGGTTGATTGATTGTATGGGTTCCCAATACCCTTTGTGTGTAGCGGGACACTACACAGCCTGTCCATGTACTTTTTATTTTCTTTCAATAAAAGTGTTTATTTTTTAAAATGATAATTGTTTTAAACAGCGGTTATTTGATTGTTGTCTAAAGTTTCGCCCAAAGTTACGAAAGTAACGTTAGATAGCATACACATATTCATTGTAGTGATGGTTATCGTTTATTTGAACTTTAAAAAAGTTTGAGACTTAATAGCTAAACTACTGTTTAAAAAGAGTATTCTTAAGTTATTATAAAAAACTCTAGCAAAACAATCATATGACATAGACAATTAGTAATAGATTACTATTTCTCATAATTTTAAGAGAAATTTACCTAAATAGGACTAAAACATAATGACTTTCCCAATATAGGATCATATATTTTTATTTCCCAATATAGGACCTTTGGTCATTATCAAGTAGTCATTATTCAACTAAATGTCCATCATTACTGGACATTATTCCTTCCACTAGGTCATTATTAAGTCCTATTTAGGAAATAAAAAAGTTTAAGTCCTACATGAGCAAAGTCATTATGTTTTAGTCATATTTAGTGCAAATTTTACTAATTTTAAAAACAATTCTACGCTTACTATCCACACTACTCTTTAAAAGAGTTTTCTTAACTTATTCTAGACAACTGTGAAAAAAAACCCCTGTGACACAGACTACTAGTAATACATTACCGTTTCTCATAACTTTAAAAATAGTTCTAGGCTTTATAGCCTGACTATTGTTTAAAATTAGTATTCTTAATTTATTATAGACAACTGTGGCAACAAAAACCGTATTTTGATATGACACAGACAACTACTAATAGATTATTGTTTCTATGAACTTTAAAAACAGATGTTGGCTAAGTATCTAGACTATTGTTAAAAAAGAGTATTGTATTCTTATTATAAACAACAGTTCCAAAAATAATATATGATATAGACAACTATCAATAGATTACTGTTTCTCATAACTTTAAAAACAGTTCTAGACGGAATAACTAGACTACTGTTTGAAAAGAGTATTCTTAACTTATTATTGACAACTGTGATAACAAAAACTGTATTTTGATATGACACAGACAACTAATAATAGAATATTGTTTCTCGAAACTTTAAAAATAGTTTTAACCATAATAGCTAGACTACTACTTTTGTAGCCAACAACAACAAACAGTAGTCTGATTTTTTTAACTACTGTTTTTCCATAAACAGTAGTTAATCAACAGTCGACTGACACTGTTTTTGGCGTAGTGAGAAATCAAGATGAGAAATAGAAGAATGATTGAGACGTGAAGGGAATCGGCAAACCTAGACAAGAGACACATTAGGGTTTGTAATTCGGATTTTGATTGATTATTGTAAAGGGGTTACAAATCTATTTACAAGGAATATACGAAAACCCTAGCCCATCTATTTCTAGCCTGTCGATTCAACAAATGCGTCGAGATAAAGAAACCCTCGAAGGAGCTTATAATTTTGCTCACCTAATAAACCTAAATTACAACAACAACAACAACAACAACAACAACAACAACAACAACAACAACAACAACAATAATAATAATAATAATAATAATAATAATAATAATAATAATAATAATATTAATACTAGATTTCCTACTCTACTATCCACAACACTCTCACCGCCTTAAAAAACCACCTTATGGAATGGAGAGAAAATGTTGACCCAAAGACTATGTCCACCTGATGACCAGTCTTCATTAAGCTTGCGGGTTGGAGTGCAGCGATGGACATTGGAGAGAAGAGAAAACACAAGCATATATACCTGCGACGGGACCCAATACTCATACTCAACTATAGTAGCATGGCCAGACAACTGAAGGATATTAAATGACAATGTGCATCTGCTACCTGGGCTTTTTTGGACGGAATGAGGGAATGAGAGGCAGATGGCTATATGCGATGATGACATTGCTCAATGTCTGGTCCTTTGCAACTACTCCATTACTCGATGCAACTACATGTGTCTCAAAAACTATAAGATCGGATGGAAAGGAATTTACAACATCTTCAACAAAGACACCATCAACTTGGAGAATACTCACTGAATCAACAGTGCTCTCAACAGATCTCGTGCCATTAGATGTGGTGTTGTGTAGAGTTGTCGTAGGTGCTAGATCAGGTAGAAAAAGTGGAGCACCGAAAGGGTTCCGTATAACGTCCATCATCTTTATTTTGAAACTTTTCAACTCCAAGGGAATCTGACTTAATACAATTGGAGGACTACGAACCAAATCTTGTATTGCGCAAGAGATAGATATTTACGTCGAATGCATTTAAATCCAAATCAGGATATGGTAGATCGAAAGATGACGAAACAAGTGGAGCATATTCATAATTTCATCCACGTGATCAGATCCTATACATACTCCTTTGTGAAACTCAACTCTTCCATAAAACATATTCGTCAACAAACCAAGTAGTTTACCGAAAGCATCGTCCATTGCCACGATAATTTTATCAAAAATTGAGGCCATAGTTATGCCAAGACCTATCTACCGCCCAAATGATATGATGGAAGATTAGTGTTCTGAATTGGGTTGCGGCACAATTACTGGCGGCGGTCAACTCAAATTAGAGAAGCAACTCTTCGCTTTTTTTTCTCACCAATTCTTGAGTTTGTTCAATGCCAACCAAATCAACCCAAAATTTCACAAAACAATAGCCTAGTAAGCCAATCAAGTGGCACGTTGGAGGCAGTAATGAGTAGCAAAATGAAGGAATTAACCCACAAATGAAAGCAATATGCAGAAAGTCTTCTTCCCAAAAAGCAATGGGTATGTAGCAACAAAATATCCAAAGCACCAAAGAACTGATAAAAGGAAGTGATATAAATAAGTTTTGGAGCAATTGGTGGGATTATTATTACTTGGAATTAAACCCTGGTTGCGGCTCAGATTCTGTCTCAAATTCCTGCGGTTGCACTTCTTGTTTCTGTGTTCCGTACGACGGCAAAGCAATAGGACTTGCGACGTATGGGAGGTTTTCAACTCTCAATGATATGTGTCGACCAATTGCTGCGACTCGTCCCTGGACCAGCGAGTCGAAAACTTGGGCAACGACGGTAAACGAATTGAGCAGTCAATCCTCCTCTCGCGATTTCTAGACCGACAACTAAAAATCTTGTGTTTTATTTATGTGTTTTTATGAATTCAAGCAATGAAAGCACCAACTTATATCGGATAGGGAAGAGCTTCGAGCGTTTTTCAAGCTCCAGAAATCAAGACGAGAAATAGAAGAACGATTGAGAGGAGAAGAGAATCAGCGAACCAAGAGAAGAGACAGATTAGAGTTTGTAATTCGTTTTTTGATTGATTATTCTAAAAGGGTTACAAATCTTTTTTTGAATGATATTGATTCTATTGTAAGTTAGTATCTGTTTATACTATTTTCAACCTAATGACACACAAAGAGCAAATTTTTTCGCCTCTGCTGGGGTTCGAACCTGGGTGAGCTTTCACATGAATCCTAAGGAGTGAGCTACGTACTACTCAAGTCAGGGGAAAAGTTCAAGGGGTTACGTATCTATTTCTAAGGATTAGACGAAAACCCTAGCCCATCTATTTCTAGCCGGTCGGTTCAAAAATGCGTCGAGGTAAAGAATCTAAAAAAATACTCGAAAAAGCTTATAATTTCGCTCACCTAATAAAACATAAATTACAATAATAATAATAATAATACTAAATATCCTATTCTACTATCCATAACACCTGCTATATATTTTAAATTCATTTTTCCCGTGCATGACACAGGTTAAAATGCTAGTATAATTTTATAAAAGTTAGACTATTCGAGTAATGAAAATGTGATCTTGTTGTTCATGAAATTGTGTATTTAAATGGGGTATACGTATACGGAGTACATGAAAAACATAAAGCTATTTGTACCCCAATTTATACACAGCAGGTTTGCACCTTCATTTTTTGTCAGTGTAATGCTAGAGTGATAGTTCACGCAGACACGAAACTGTAATACAATTTTTTTAATAATACATTAATATTTTGTATCAGTATGAATCATTAAAATGTCAGTATATACTTTTGATACGGGGTATATCTTTGGTGTAGCATGGTTGTTGTTTAAATCACCATATGTTGAGAAGCATTTCTGGAAAATGACAACTTTGTGGTAACTGGTAAGCAGTTAAGCACCCATGTGGGAATGTCGGGTCCGAAGTCAATGAGGGAGTGGTACATTAGTAAGGAAAAAGGCTTCCTACGTGCTTGATGCTTTTGTTAGTTTTGTATGTATTTAAGATGTTGGCGAAGTGTAAGTTACCTCTCAATGTTTGTCTAGAGATTTTAATTCACCACAGACGAAGCTACTCAAACTCCTAAAGGGAGTTTAGATTAATACGATCGATGCATTTGGATTGTGATCAACTTAAAATTTTCAGCTAACATATTACGAATTGAAGCAATAATATAATTAGAACTATATCACACTATAAAACAATGAAATTGGGCTTGAGTTTGTGAAAAAGAAATTACTTTAAATACGAGTAAAACATAGACAAAGTATTAAAATATGAGCACGGTATTTTTGTTCCAAAAATAGGAGTTCGCAGTGTTTTAACTTCTATTTCGAAAAAAAACATGAAACTTTTGTTTGGATGCATTTTCAATGTCTTACTTCTACTTTCGTCATTTTCTTGATGCAGTCACAATTTATATTGTTAGGCTCTGTTTTTCTGAGTTGGAATTTCAAAGTCGGATGTTGAAAGAAACTGGAAGGAGTTGAAAAGAGTTTGAAGGAGTTGGAAAATGTTGGAAGAATTTAAGTGTCAAAAAGTCATTCAATTAAATGATCCCTCAAATAAATATGTAAGAAAACTTCAACTTTGGATAAAAAAAAGAATTCATCATTGTTTGTGCTTGAGGTGGATTGTTATGAATTTGGATATATAATATTATTGTATAGTCATAATATATAAATACATTTTTTGAGTCGTTATTAAAAGAAACTGGAAGAAGCTAGAAGGAGTTGGAAAAAGATTGAAGTTAATTTTTCCAACCCAAAATAACGGAGTCTTAGTTTACTATTCACATGGTCAAATTTTAATCACTTTCTCTATCCATTTTCGTTATTCATTTGATAAAACAAAATAATGATGTGACTTCTATCTTGTAGAAATTTTGATATATTTTTTAAAAATATAATTTTTATTTTTTAATTACACATCAATTTTCAAATAAAATAAATTTTAAACAACTTCTGTTAATTACACACCGGTCCTGGGCATCGAAATTTGGAGGACCCCTATGTATATAGACTATAGACACGTTCAATATACTCCGGTAATTAATTTTAAGAAAAAAATATAACAAATTGTTCTTCGTTCGCCTTTTAACTACTAATGTAGCTTTAATTTCCATAAAAAGAATATACTTTCCCCCTTTCAGAAATATTATCTAAGTTATTGTCTTGGTTTTACCATAATTTTATCTATTAGTATATTTTCATTTATTGTTTGATAAATTAAAATGTTATTGTCATGTGTTGATTATTTGGTAAAATAAAAATATTCTTGTCACATGTTAATTATTGATAAAATAAAAATACTCTTGTCATATACTCCCTCCTTCCATAAATGATATATATACTTTAATATTTAAAAATTGCTGAAACTTTTGTTTATTTGTGTATTTTCATTGAATATTTGATTAAATAAAATATTTTTGCCACTTCTTGTTCTATAGAACTTTTGATGCATTTTTCAAATATGTAAGTGGAGATTTCATTTCAAGAACTTTTGATATATTTTCTCCTTTATAAAAAAAAATTTGATGTACTTTTTTAAAAATATAAGTTTTGATATACTTTTTAGAGAGGAAATAAAATAAATTGAAAAAAGTTGGAATTTCATTTCATTTTGCGTAAAATGTAAATGATTTAGGGACGGAAGAGATATTGGCACATATTCGGCTAGGGTAGGGGTAGAGTAGCCACCCCGCCCATTGGGAAGTGCAGCGCAGGAGGTACGGGTGATCTCCCTGCATGTGTAAACACATTGGAGGTGGTTCCTTTATATGTAATTTAAATATATAAGTTCCCAAATAAAATCAACCGGAGTAGCTTACTCTATTTTGCATTTAATATTCTCCTGGAGTAGCCAACTCCGTTCCACATATTTAATTAATGAAACGGAGTAGCCAACTCTGTTCGACGTATTATTATTTTTTTAAATCAATATTTCTTCTTTATTTTTCATAATTGAAGGAACAAAAAAATATTATAAAAAACAACAAATTAATTACATACTTGGTCCGTCCCTGAGTGTTTGTCCACTTTTGACTTTTGGAACTGTTCATCTAAGCACTTTGACTCATCAAATTCTCTCAATGTGTAAGCCTAAAAATATTCATGTGTGATCTTGTTTGATTCGTCTTAACATATAGATTATTAATATATAATTTTTATAATTTTTTAATATACAAATTACAAGATAAAATGGATTAAAGAAGTGCATTGGATAGTGTGCAAAAATGAAAGTGGACAAACACTCAGTGACGGAGGGAGTATAATGAAACAAACCATCTACTAATAATAAAATTCATAAATAAAACTATTATTTATTGACTTTAAACAATGCATCATACACCGAAACTAAAAAAAGAAGGAAATTACAACAAATTTATTGATAGAGTACATATAATTTGTTCATAAAAATAAGGCTACAAAACACATGCCATAACTAAGTTATTTTATGAAATTCATAAAACATAAACTTAGGTATAATTGAAATCCATGATATAGCTATTGCTCATTGCGAGGTCGCAGTGGTCGGTAGTTCATATTATTCGGATAGCAAGTTCTTGTAGGTGGATCGGTTGGTATTCTCGCTCGTGCAGTTGGTCTCACTATCTCATATCCTGGAGTAGGCCATTCAGCCTTATCGGGGAGCGGCATTATGATGCCAGAATAAGCGTTGATGTAGGATTGAATTGAAAAAATATTCTAAACAAATATTTCAAC